TATTTAGAATGAAATATGAAAAAAAAAAAAAAAAAAAATGACGAAATCGTAAGCAGATAGGCATTTTTCTCATTTCGAAAAGTTATATCATAAAATCGAATTCTTCGGTAAAAAGTTATATCACATTAATTAAATGTATAACAGGATATTCGTATATTTACAGGTTTGCGGACATTTTATAATAACTCCACAGTTAATGTCTCGAGCCAAAAGAAAAATGGTAGTGATGCATCCCTTGCCACGAGTATTCGAGATCAGTACAGAATTTGACACGGATCCACGTGCTGCTTACTTTCGACAAGCCGAAAACGGTGTTTACGTTCGAATGGCACTTTTGGCAATGGTTCTTGGACGTGCGTGACATATTCGAAAATAAGGAATAAGATTGATCAAAATCAAGATTAGCTTGATTTTAAATGTATTATCAATAACATATAAAAAAGACAAAATATTTCCAATTGCATTTCCAATTAACCGAGATAACGATATTATTTATCAAAGAAACAAATATCGTCAAATGACATCTTCAAAAAAGTAGAAGTAGCTAAATGACAAGCAAAAATATTTTGGCCAATGCGAGTCAAAATATTAAATTCGTCCAAATTATAATGGAAAAAAAAAATGGTATTTTATTAATGTCTACTGTAATTTGATAAGAGTATATTTTGATAATTTTTTTATCTTTATGTAATATATTTACAAAAAGAATGAAATTTATCACCGATTCCCCTATATTTCCATATATTATTGTACACAGATGGATAAAACCTTATATTTTGTAATAAAATCTTTTATTTTTGACAATACATTTATTTACAATTTTCTTTCGTATGTACACGTATAATATACGTCTAAGTAAATACTTGTTTAGAATTAATATACAATTACACATTAAATGGTAAATATGTATATCGTATATTCGCATATCATAATAAGCGAACATATTCGCTTTTAACATCAGCATTTCTTTCGTACTTTTATCAGTTTAATCATCATTTAGTCGAATCATTAGTAATAAGATGATTAAAACATCGATGTTTCATCGTTTATCAATTGTTATATGGTCGAAAGAATGAGTAGACCTCAAAAGAATAGATGATATTGTATAAATGGAAATACTCGTATATTCAACTCGATTCGATTTGATTCGATTCAATTCGTTTCGTAGAAAACTTGCCTTTACGTACATACTCTACATAACAGATTTGCATTCGAGTATGCGATCGCATTCTTTCATCTTTATTTTATCTCTCTTGAAGATTAAATAATTGAGTTAATAATATCTATACATATATTCGATTATTTGAGCAATTATTAAAATTTAGATCCGTATCGTTGACTTTCAATCCTTTTAAAATTATTATTTAAATTATTATTACTTAAATTTCTATGTTCATTTTTAAAAACAATCGTAATATGCGATCGATACGATCGAGAGAGTTGATAACTAAGATATAAATAAAAACTTGAAAATCACAGTTACGCGAACGATATTGAGTTGAAGAACTTTGTGAAAGATAGGTTATTTGCAAAATTTGATTCACGTCATTTATCCAAACACGATAAGTCCACTCGATCTATGTTGGATTAACACAATTTTCGGTGTAACGCCGTATTTCTTCTGTTCATTTTTTAATTTTTCGTCGAACTGTACTTATAACGACTTCCTTCGTGTTTAACGAAGAAATTGGACCGGTGGCATTTCGTTCCTTATGCGCGTTGAAAATCGACGTATCGCGAAAGATGTCAGACTATAACATCACGTGTTCGAAAGCCAGCGTCGCTAGCACCGTTTGGACACATATCCGACGCCAAGGATTTCGCGTCCTCCTTTTGATTTTTTCTCATTCGAGACAACGGTGGCATTTTCAATTTCAATTTCTTTTTCTTTAAAACATCCTTCTTTCTAAAATGGCAATAAAAATTAAATTACGAATCGATCCTCTGTTTCCTCTCTTTCTTGGAAAAAATTTCCCAAAAGGGAAACGAATTACGTACTGATGCTTGCAATCGATAAATATTCCCATTGAGAATAATATCACTATAGCTATGATGATACCGATCACGACTACCACCAGCGTTACTATCGCGTCCTCTTCTTCGGGAGTAAAGGGTTCCTCTGTCGTTGACCACGACACTTCTCCTGTCCAACATATAAAAAAAAATACATGATATAATAACGACAAATGTGTCCATACAAATTTAAAAAACAATGGAATCTTTCGCCTCTCGAAGGTTGAAAAATTTTTTACACACATTCTTGCTTATTTCCTAACAGCTTATATAAATTTCCGGTCAATGACCAAACGATATTGCAAGGTTTGATCTCTTGCAACATTCAACTACTGAAAAAGCATAGTCTTGCATATTTAAATTTCACGCGATATATACAGATTTGGACATACGAAGGGAGGGCGAAAGATTTAATAATTCGACGCGATTGACGTCATCCCATAGCTTCCGTTCTTCGTAAGAAGTTGCGGGTGACGTCTTTTCGAGCACGTACGCCACCCTGATCAGATTCGACCGGCCAGACGAAACAGGAAATGAAAGGGTCTGAAAACTGTTTGCTGGAATGCAATCACTGAAACTGGCGAACGAAAAACGTCTTATGTACTTATTCGAAAGCATCATTATCGCATACACGCTGTGTACTCGTGAAAGTTCGTTGTATCAAAAGTTGGTCGGCAGTTTTGGAATAACGCATTAACGGTACATATTCGCGATACGAGTACTATCGTGTTAGATTCAGTAAATCATCGAAGCTAAAACTTGTTCTGGTAGGATTAAACATAACAGGAAAGATTGTACACGCTTGATGAAATATCACTGTTTGTTCCAGTATCGTAAAAATTCACGAAGAAAATCTATTTCCTATGGACTTTTTAAATTACGATATTTGATGCATCGAAGAAGAAATTGAAAGTCTTTTATCATCGATTCAAGTATTTAGAAACTTTCAATTGTTTGAATCAAGTATATGCATTATTCAGGAATGGATAATTTTAAAATTATAATTTTATCTTGAAAAGATAGAATCTTTTATGTTCAATTTATGATAGAATAAATTGAAAGTAATGTTGTCCGTTGAAAATGAAAATTTATATATTTAACGCCCATTGATTAATACGAGGGGCGTTAGATACATTGGTATCAGTTTTATACCGATAAATTTGTACGTAAAAAATGATATGTTATTAATAATCTATAATCTATTTTAGATTTTATTCTTAATATTTTGTGGAAAGGATATTATCTTAATTTCATGAAAACGACTTTTCAATGAATATATAAAGGAAATATTTTTGTAGGTTACCAAGAAATTTTATCACATTTGCGCAATTGCTTTTAATTTCTACCTCATAATAAAACAACAAATCACACTGATAATATTGAATGATGAATATCGCAATAAGTAGTCATGTAACCAGATCCGACATAACTGTTATTACAATCGTGTGATCACGACAGGTTAGCAGAGTGTAACAATAAGTCTTTATCGATGCCTGTACGTACCAGTACCAGTGTATACCTATCCTTTCCTCTGGTGTCGCGATTTGTTTGTTATAAGCAAATACTTGTTTTCATCCAATAACTTGATTACCTTCTCCTCTTTTATAACGTCAGTATATACATAAATCAAATTTTTTTTTATTTAAAATCCCACCAGATATATTTGAAATAGAACACGTCTCGATTTATATCAAATTCAAATCCAACATTCTCAGAATAAAGTTTGATCTCATGATATTATTGATATTATGTTACAAGAATAAGTAGAAAAACCGGAATAATTTTTTCTATACGTTTCGTCCCTTATACAATCCCTTATACAAACTATCTAGGTATGTGTATAGGCAACGAGAGAAAAGCAACGTTCACATTTTGCCACCTGTTGCGTTTCGTATAGAATGTAAGATTTAGTCTCAATTTTATTATGAATTTAGCGAGAAAATACAAAAGAAGGGAAGTCATCAATCGTTTCATTTTAAACGAGCCATTTTGTAATAAAATTTTGTTAACCAAATTTTGATATAAAAATAATAATAAATCTACATCGAATTAATAACAATTACCTTTGGTCGATAACGCATTTCCAAGACTGTCATTGACATTCCTGGCGTGCACCCCCATCATCAACGATGAATCTTTTCTTCTTACTTCACTTTATTTGCAAAGAAGCGTTCGGAATCGTCCACGAATTGACCGGTTCGAAATCACGAAGTAAACTGTCCGCCACATGCCTCGAGTCAAGTGATACGCTTGGTGAGGCCTCTACGAGGCAAACGGAAACCGCAAGCGTGCAATGAAGACCGACAATAATGAGCCAACAAGAAGAAGAAAGAAAGGCTAGCTACGCTTCGTGGATTGCGGGAAGAGAAAGGAGGGGCAGAGAGGAAAGAGAAACCTCACGGTCTCCGTCTGAGATTCCATGAGGATCGACATATAACTTCCATTCACCGTCCGTGATTCACGTACAATCTGGCATGTACAATTAACCTCGCTTGATAATCATTTCTTTTAAACTCTCCTTTACCTTTAGTAGTTTTTATGTCTTTTAGCGTGGAACTAATTATTAAAACAATAAGAAATCTTGTAACAATTAATTTATTACTTCTCGTTTACTTTTACGTGATAATACATTAATATCAAATGTTAATTATTTATTTAATAGAATAAAGAATTTCCAGTTCTTAAGGCAAAAGTTTTTAACTAATTTTGCCATTTTAGAGATTATATGCAGAATGTCAAATAAACAATCTAGGAAAAGATGAATCATAATAGAAGAAATAAGAAAAAAAATCAAGAACATAATTTTCTCTATTGAGTCTTTGCTTTAAAATAAATCAAGTCCAAACAAATTTTCAACAAATGAAAGTGATTAATTCCGATTAGATATGAGTTTCCCTTTTGATGAGTAAATCATTAAAAAGAAGTAATTATATATGTGAAAATATATAATAATGTATAGAAAATATAGAATAAATTTTTTTCATATAGAAATTAATTTAAAAAAAATTGAATTTGACAATTTGCCAATTATATGATTTTTTTTTTAATATATATTTAATTTCAATTTTCATAAAAACAAGAAGACTTGAGTGATAAAATTTTACTATTTTTCGATTGTATTATCAATGTGGATATCCTGCATTTTGAAAACAGAGAAAAAGAAAATTATATTAATTTATAGCAATACTTCTCTTAATTCTAAGAATTTATAAAAATATGAATAAAAGATATTGTGTTATTTCTTTGTATTATATGTTCCTTTTTTTTCCCACTCATTTCCACATATAAGATATTTCACTTGATAATATTCATGATTTATATCTCTATTATTGTATATAGCGAAAAATGATAAAATTTCAAATAAAATTTAAATAATTTAGTAAAAAGAATATATATGAATTTATATTCTCGTATTATTTGGAAATGGATATATAAAAAAATCAGTGGAAATTAATTTCATTCTTTCAAAATTAAAATTATATCTTTTAATAGATTAATTAATACAACTCTTCATATTTCATAAAAAAATGCTATTCTACTAAAACTTCCTTTTTAATTTAACAGATATTTATTTTTGTACAATTGCATTGTTTGTACAATTGCATGCTGAAATTTTTATTTTATATTAAAAAAATATAAATTAATAGGAAATTGTTCGAGAAATTTTTTAGGAATTTTGGATAATTCTTAGAAATGAAATTCTTGGAATTATAAAAATTTTGGGAATTTCTCAAATAATCGAATGAATAAAACTTTTGGCTGAAAATTTGACTTTGTATTAGAAGAACATAACTTGACAAGAAGTTGCGCGCAAAACTTTTCCAAGAATTTTATTGGAAAAAATATCAAATTCTTAGAATTTTTAGAAATACATTAAATACATCAAACAATTACTATAAGTTAGTACAAACAAAATATATCAAGATGAATTCATAATTAAAAATATGTAATTTTAATTATTATGTAATATGTATTTATATGTAATATATAAAAATGTAAATAATATACAATAAAATGCTATTATTCAACAAATCAATGAATTTTTTATTTAAAACACCTTTATTCCTACATTCCCTCTAGTCCTTTAAATTTAAGTAAATTACTAAAAAATGATTCCAGAAAAAAATAAAATATCCTAAGGTAAGTATGTAAGTAAAGGTAAGTAAAGAAAAATATAAGGTAAGTATAACATTCTTTTTCAATTATATTCATCTAATAAAAAAAGAAAAATTTAAACAACTTTTGTATTATATGAATGTCAATTAAAAGTGCATGAGAAATTTTTGGAAATGACGTCAAATTTCTAGAATTTTTAAAATTCCTGGAACTGACGATGAATTCTTGGAAACTTCCTAATGAATTTCAAACGAACAAAACATTTGTCTAAAAATTCAATTTTGTATTAGGAGAACATGACATAATAGGAGGTCGATCGAAAAATTTTTCCAAGAAATAACATAAAATTCTCGGAATCGCTAAAATTCTTGGAATTGACGTCAAGTTCTTAGAATTCCTAAAATTCCTGGAACTGGCGACCAATTCTTGGAAATTTCCGACTGAATTTCGAACGCACGAAACTTTTGGC